GTTCCCCCCCTTCAGGTCTTTTAGGTTCTTCGAGCTCCCAACATAGGCGGACACCGGAACGTATCCTGCAGAAAAGGCCTGCTTCCTTTCGTATCTCATCAAGCCACCCGGTGCAGAAGGAACGCACAAAGGCTCTGGGTCAGCAGGCGGGAGAAGTCACGCGCACTATGCAAAAACGATCAGCATCACTTGCCGGGGTTGATAGACTCAGGGTTGCTGGGGAGGTCACACGAGAGAGAAGATAATCTCGAGGGACCTACCCAGAGTCGTATATCACCAAGTATACAACGTATACGAAGATATGGTACACATCAGTCAACACTGGAGTAAAGCATGGCCCGGTCTCAAAGCAAAATGGTGAGACCGAATAGAGTGAGACATGCCTCCAGGAGCAGAGCCGGGGCGGGAGTTCCCAGCAGGCAAGGTCTAGTTCATCCCCGTGATGAGTGAACAGGCGTCTTTTCTCGGTCGTGATGAGTGAACAGGCGCCTTTTCTTGACCGTGATGAGTCAAGCGGCGTCCTTTCTGCCTGGACCGCTTGCCAATTGTGCGAGCCATCTCAGCCGAGGAGGGGGAGGCCACTCGAGGCTAGAAGTGGGACTATTTCAAAACAGACATTCTTTTACAAGTGAAGAAAAACAAATTGTGTAGTAGTTTTCACACAAATAGGGGCGTTTGGTCACGTATCTCAAGTTATAACTTGAGATACGTGACCAAGCATGCCCGTGACTGGTACTAAATTTAAAATCCCCACATTTAAAATAGTCCTACTTCCAGCCTCGAGTGGGTACACTAGACCGCCCGAGGTACCTATGCACACAGAATACATGTCGATTGTAGGCGTTTTGTGGGGAAATGGTCACATGGCCGCCCGCTTTGCAGTCCAGCCACGTGACCAAACGTATAAAAATGGCCACACACATTTACAATCGACATTTATTTTGAGTGCACGGGTAGCCTCGCTGGAGCCTTTATGGCTCTTGTCTCTAAGACGGGTTCGTTTCTTAAGGCTCATAGACGTTTGTATCACGCAACTCAAGGCTCGAGGGCCTGTTTTAGGACCTGTATTGAGAGTCATAAAGAAGAAGAAGAAGTGTGGGAGACCTGGTCACGTCCTGGCCCTTGTCCAGCTACTGCAAAGCCACAGAGGAAGTCTCAAAATTCTTGGACACGACACTAAAATTACTTGTAGGTTACCTTTTGACGAATTTTGGTCACGTCCTTGGGGTGAAAATTGCCTTTTGAGGAGAAAATGGCTCAAAAGTATAGGACACCAGAGTGTCCGCTACTTTCTGAAACTTCCCCTGTGGCTTTTCAGTAGAGGCGACTACGAGTCACGTCCTGGGGCGTGTCCACTCCGTACCCTGAATCTCATCTCGAACGATAACTGAATCAGTCCCCTGATTAGCGTTTTCATTTAACTAGGAGGCCTAATTAAATTTATTATACCCTAACTAATTTCTCCTATTCAACCTCCTATTGAAAATGAACTGATTCAGTTATCTTACGAGATGAAATCCATCCGGAAACAGCAAGAGCGGCCGAATTGGGGTACAGTAGGTAGCACAACGCGTAGGGCATGTGCGGTGCCGGCGCTGGTTGTTCGGCAACAAAACACCAATCTCATATGGAAACACTTGTACTTCACAAACTGGATTTCAATCAAAATTACTACACGTTCGCTTTAATATTACTAGTAAAGATCGTTTCGTGTGGTAAATTTCATTGAACCAAGTTTCATAAATTGTAAGTGTTTGCGTATGAAATCAGTCAACAGCCTCCAAGGTGACTCTTCGTCCGCAGATAGACGGCAAAGCGCAAAGCAAAAAGTAAAGCAAACACAGCGAAGCTAACGCTCTCTACCTGCAATCTTGGACAAGAATCGTGCAAGACGACTCCGAGGGGGCGTCGCTCCACGCCAGACTTTCAAACTCTGCTGATTGCCCTGCTACCTGCACCTGTTTAGGGTTAAGGATTGAGTGTGGGGACAGTTGAGGGTTTAGGGTTTAGGGTTTAGGGTTTAGGGTTTAGGGTTTAGGGTCTGGGGTTTAGGGTTTAGGGTTTAGGGTTTAGGGTTTAGGGTTTAGGGTTTAGGGTTTCAGTTGTAGGCTGGGTTCAGGGTATATGGTTTGGCTTTGTGGAGTAGGGTTTAGGGATTAGGGTGTAGGATTTAGGATTTAGGGTTTAGGGTTTAGGGTTTAGGGTTTAGGGTTGAGGATTTAGGGGTTAGGGTTTAGGGTTTAGGGTTTAGGGTTTAGGGTTTAGGGTT